AAAAAGACTCGGTTCAATTCTGGTGCTGCGGGGAAACCTACAAGAGTAAGAATAAGGCGTGAAGCGAGCGATTAAAAGTGTGCCAGTTAAGTTTGATTAGAAGGCTGGGTTTACACATGTACACATTGGCGGTCTTCATTGACAGGGATATCGACAAAACTACCAAATCTCAAGCAGTGGAGAGTGCAAAAGAAGAGGAGAGGCTGCTCAACGTGGACTTTGTGACGGCCAAGACTCAAGAGCTCCGTATCAGACAGCAGAGGTTGGAGGTATGTTGCAGCATATTCCTCTTTATAATTTGGGATTATTGCATAGATGCTGAGGTACTAAGTGGGATCATTTATAGGCCATTTTGTGATTTAAACAGCAAAACGCATTATCTACAGATGGAACCTACTTGACTCTTGACAAAATATGATTAACTTCTCCACATTTAGACTCAGAAAAAAATTTCTAATGTGTATACGTCAAGATAAGAAGCTGCTGCTCAGATTTAGAAAGAAGCTTCATTAAAAAAAAAACATATTATTTTTTCCTGTAAATGACCAAACAGTTTAATTTCTGTTTACCTAGTTGCAATGTCGTCTGCCTCTTGTTTAAAACAGAAACAGTGTTTAGTTTGTTAGTTTGTTGTTTGTCTTGTATTAGTCACTTTATTCTGCTCTGCTAATCCTGCAGGCTCAGCTTGTATCCAGGAACATGGACAAGTCTATCACCCACCAGGCCATTGTGCAGCTTTCTGAGGTATTTCAGCATTTTCACCACATTCATTGCCATGGGGATAGAAGCTTTACTTTGTCTGCATTCAGGGTTTGAAACATGTCATCTTATTTTTCTCCCTGCAGGAACTCAGGGCACTGCAAAACGAAATAATCCTCCTGAAAAAGAAGCTGGAGTCGTACATGGACCTGAGTCCGGTACGTTTGTTTTCTAGTTTTTCAGACTTCATTACTTTTCCAACAAAAGGGGTGATCACGTTTCCTGTTTTGTCCTTTGAAAAGAAAAAATCATTCAATCTAATTTATTTAAGGATTAAGTTTGTGAATTTAATCTTGAAATGTGTGTTGTTGTTTTTTTATTCTAAACCTTCAGAGCCCATCTCTTGCACAAGTGAAGATAGAAGAAGCAAAAAGAGAACTAGTGAGTCTTTAAATATTTGGTTTTATAACATACAAGATGCCATTTTTTGCTCGTTTGTCATTTTAATTACTTTTTCTTTCGTTCATTTTTCAGGTTGCACTCGATTCCAAACTGGAGACAATGAAGGCTATAAAATGAAGTTGGATGTTGCGCAGTCCTTTCTTTAAAAATAAAGTTTTTGCAGTCATATTTTTCTTCTTCTTTTCTACCTTTACCTGCCTTCATCATTAATGTTAAATGAAAAGTGGTTTGAGGTATTTTGGGTCACCTGAAAGGATACTTCTTGCTTCTTTCCTCCTTAGCTTTGGAACCTTATTTAAATATAGGTTAAATATTTCAGAGATTTTGGACACTCCTAAAAAGCTCACAGAGTATCCCTATTAGTTCATACACCTTGAACATTTTTATATTGTACAACCTGCATAACTAACTTATTTTGTTTTGTATGTTTACCAACAAAAACATTGTTTGCATGCTTGTCAGTGTCTAGAAATGGGTAAAATTTTCTGATATGATTTTTAGCTTTTTTATTTTATGATAAAATAATATACTGCTAATGTGTACCTGAATGTTTAGTCTCTCTCCACGCCTTCCTGTTTGTTTCAAACATCTGCAACACTAATGCAATGTTTGGCTTTTCCTCTCTGATCGCAGCAATCTAATTAAGGGGTTGGTCTTAAGAGTTGTAAAAAATAGTTCTCACAGATTATATCCAAACAACTTTCAATCTGTGTGGACAACCTCATCAAATGCAAGTTCTTTGTTTTGTTTTTGTAAATGTATTTTTGTCCAGCTGCTTATCATTTCTCAGCCCTTCTGGGATCCAAATAAGTTTTCCTCTTCCATACTTCTTGGATTTTCTTCTCAAAACCTCAGTATTTTTTACACCCATTTGCTTTAATGTAATTTCTTCAATGTCTGGCCAACAAGTCTAAAGGTAAAGGAAACCTTTAGAGATTCACAATAAAATGGTACTGGCTTTGGAGGTATAATGTCACATGGAATTAACGGTGGAGCACTTTGTGCCTGAAGCAAAAGCAGACATTAGAATCAGTCTGTTCTGTCTGCATGTAAAATATCCCCTCAGCGTTTCTCTGCCCTGTCGGTTTCTGTCCTCTGGAGTGGAGCAGAGCCTGGACACCTCAACGGTTTCTGTCAGCTTGACTGGTGTAGGACCTGATCTGCAGTCTGACATGGAGACTGAGCCGTTACCATGGAGTGGGCCACAGATGCTTACTAGAGAGCAGTTTTCCCACTGGGGCCCCCCAGCTTGGATGAAAAGAACCATTTGGTTAGAATACCAACAGTTTTAAAAAAAGAAACAATCTGGCAATTTATTCAAAAAGGTTACATTTGTTTTACTCCTGGGTGACTCTGTTTACCTATATTTTCCAAGTAATGTGAACGCTTAAATGTGTAAGCATAACTTATTTTTATGAGTATTGCTTAATTGACATAACTCATAAATTGTAGTAGTCATAATTGACATTTTATAGTCAACTTTACTAATGATTTTGAGTTAATCAAAATCAGGTTTACTGCCATTATCTGAGTGGTGTAAACATTTATAGCTATAACACCTTATAATGAATTAGCTACTTTACTTGGAGATTTTGAGGCAATCGGTTTCCTAACTTTTTTTAAGTAAAGTGAACTTATTACATTTTACAGTGTGGACAAAGAAAAATGTTTGAAACAAATAATATGGCCTTTAGAGACAGAACACAAATCATATAAATTGTCTTAAATTCCAGTTGAATTAGTTAAAATGTTTTAAAGTGTGGGCCGGTCATCAGTGGACAGTAAAGAATCCAGTTGTAATGAAATGTTTTCTCCTTTTCAAACCTCATTAGAAGAACAAATTTGTCTCTAATGCTAAACTTGACTGGTCTGGTTTTTAGACTTAAATGGCAGCTATTTATTTATTTATTAAGTTTTACAGAAAAAGAAAACCATATCTACTCAACTTTCATTTATCAATTATTTTTCCATTTGCAACAACAGCATAAAAAGAGTATTTAGGTTGTTGGTTCTGTTCTGAAAATGGAGGTTTAATCATGACGTAAATACAAATTGTTGCGAAAACAATAACTGATTACTACAGCTGCACTTTATATATTGAAATAAACATTTAATTTGAACCGTTAAATCGTTTTAAGTGAATTGGGATAACTACAATTTTTTAATCTGCTGTATTTCTTTAAATTCACATTCATTTTCTTCCTGGAAGGTTGGCAGGTTGGCTCTGTTCATCAAACACTTTTTGCAGTTCTATCTTCTATTGCTGGAGTTAACTTAAAGTTAAACAGAACCCTAGATGTAATTTGTGTGAATGAAAAAGAACACATATTACATTTGTTTACATCTGTTTTTCTAAGCAACCAGAATGTCTTCTTTCATTTAAGTAAATTGCCATAAGCTATGCTTCTTTCTGAATTTTTGATTTGATGTAGGCTCTTGTTTTGTACTTATTTTCACAAGATTGAGACAGTTATATCAAAAATATGGGGGAAAAAAAAAAGACAAATTAGAAGGATGAATTGTTGGATGTTGAATTTGATATTTATGCATTTGTGGTTAAAAACTGGGACAAATAGGGGATGAGTTGCACAATTTGGAAATTAGTTTTCTCAGTGTGGGTTATTTGCTCATCTTTTGATCAGCCCACTTAGTAAAACATAAAATCCAGGGTTTTTTTTCTTTCAATCCAATGAAATAATTTGTTTTGTCACAGTACAATCACACGTGCATGATACAAATGAGATTGTATGTAACAAACACAAGGTGGTGAATGGTTGGGAAAAGGAATAAAAATGTTTTTCTAAATATTTTACAAATGCATTCCATACAATAGTCAGTTGCAGACCAGACTACTGGGTTAACTTTAACCCCATACTATACAGTGCTGTGGTCATATAGATGCACAGATAATGATCGTAAAAGTCCAAAGAACAACTAAGAGATCCAGTAAATCGTTGAAAACCATTTTAAAGTATTGCAAGAGGCAAAGCATAAAGGAATTGGAAGTTGTTGAAACTTTTGTACAGTACAATTTAGAAGCAAACATAAATATCAAACTGTGACTGTGTGTTTTTGTAAAAATTGTGCCTGAAATGTGCAGGAAGACGTAAAATAAGAAAGTCAAAGAGAGGGAAGCCTAGGAAGTATGTATGCGCCTTCTGGAGGGATAAAGAGGGGGGAAAAAATCATGCGTCACTCTAGCGCGAGCTGCCCGTGTTCCCTTTAAAATAGTTTTATGTGCCACTCCCACTCCATGATTCCCACTCAGCTGTTACTGTAAATCGCTCCCAGTTCCCACATGGTGCTATCCATTCACAAATCCGCGCAGGAAGACTCGATTGTTGCCATGAATCGGATTGATCACCTCGTCCGTCACCTGTGAGCAACTTGTTGCGCAGCTGCTATTTCCTCTGTGGTCCATCGCCGCAGCCAGACAGCCGCTGCTTCTCTACGACAGAAACACTGGAGCTGCTGATCTGCGTCTCAGCGTCCGGGGGTATTTTCTGGCTCTCAGGGAGGACAGCTGGATGACTTTGTGTGAGCGACCGACTTTCTTTATTGGAGTTAGAGAGATGCAGCCGAACGCCGCGGCCTTGCGGGATCTCCCTCACCTTCCTGTTTGGGTTTTTCATTAAGTAGGCCTACAACAAGTCTGAATTCAACGAGCCTCATTAATATGAGAAGAGGGGCAGGGGATGCGAGTCATGAGCTGGACGCGTCCTTTCCACGGACTGGACTGGAGCCACAGCCTCTTCTATCTGACTTTACTACTGTGGACCAGGCGCATGAACGGACTGGCTGATTTTTCAAGTAAGATGATGATGATGATGACGATGATGACGGAGATGCAATAAAAGGAGGGGAAAGCTTACAACAGAAACTATTTTCTCACAAAAAATGTCACCAGGTCGCTCTGAAGTTTTCCATTTAACTTGCATAAAATGATGTAAAAATGAAATCTTCTTTTGGTGTTTTTTGAATAATGGTGAAAAGACAAGAATTGATATTAATTCAGGTAAGGAATCTGTAGTGGATTTAACATTTGTTTCCAGTTGTTTAGCTCCATTATGTGATTGGCAAGTTGAAAATAAATCCTTTGGTAGTGATCATTACATTATAGTCAGTAAAATAAGGATGGGTCAGGTGCAGAATCTTGAAATGTTAGGAGGGAAGTGGATATTTAGGAAAGCAAATTGGGAAAAATTTAATAACTTATGTGAGAGTAAGATATCAAATATAAAAAATGATTTGAGTGTAGAAAATATGAGTCGTGAGATTAGTCAGGGTATATTAGAAGCTGCTGAAAGGTCTATTCCAAAAACATCAGGGAAGAATAGGAGGAAATTAGTTCCATGGTGGAATGAAGAGTGTAGAACAGTGGTCAAAGAAAGAAATAAAGCATTTAAACTGGTTAAAAAGTCTCATAATTTTCAACATTTGATCGAATATAAAAATCACAGGCTAAATTAAGGAAAACAATAAGAACAGCAAAAAGGATATATTGGAGAAATTTTTGTGACAAAATTGGTAATAGTACAAAGATTGGGGAAGTTTGGGGAATGATCAAAAAAATGGGGGGAGATAGAAGAGAATGGAGTTATCCAATATTAAATAGAAACAGTATAATAGCAATAAATGACAGGGAAAAAGCTGATATTTTAGTAAGCACATTTATGGAGATTCATAGTGGGAAAAAATGATCAGATAAAGAAATAAAGGGGAGAGAGAAAACTAAAAGAGAAAATGGTGGAATTTTAAGAAGAAAGGAAATTATTAAGGATGAATTGATGAACGAACATTTCTCTATTGGAGAATTGAAAAGAGCTTTGGGTAGAACAAGAAATAGTGCTCCAGGTAAAGATGAAGTATGCTATATTATGCTAAGACATGTGAGTGATGATGTTTTGAAGAAGATATTAAATTTGTATAATAAGATTTGGAAAGAGGGAAGAATACCTAGTGAATGGAAAGAAGCGGTTGTTATTCCGATAAAGAAACCTGGGAAAGATCATAGTAATCCTGAAAACTATAGGCCGATTGCTTTAACATCTAATATATGTAAGCTGATGGAAAGGATGGTGAATGAGAGGTTAGTACAGTATTTGGAATCAAGGAATATAATTGCTCCGTATCAGAGTGGCTTTCGTAGAGGGAGAGGAACAATGGATCCAGTATTGTGTTTAGAAGATGATATTAGAAAAGCTCAAATTAATAAGGAAACTGTGGCTGTATTTTTTGATGTGGAAAAAGCATATGACATGTTATGGAGAGAAGGATTAATGATTAAACTACACCAGATAGGAATAGGAGGGAGTATGTTTAACTGGATATGGGATTTTTTATGTGATAGAAATATCCAAGTTAAAATAGGTTCTCATGTTTCAAAATCGTGTCAAATAGAAAATGGAACTCCTCAAGGAAGTGTGATAAGTCCAACATTATTCTCGGTGATGATAAATGATATTTTTAATGAAATACCAGTTAGTTTTGGGAAATCACTATTTGCTGATGATGGAGCATTATGGAAAAGGGGAAGAAATATAGAACATCTTATTTTAAAACTTCAGGAAGGTATAGATATAGTAGGTAAGTGGGGAATTGAGTGGGGTTTTAAATTTTCAATTGAGAAGACAAAAGTAATGTTCTTTACAAATAAGAAAGTTAGAATTGATAAAAAATTATATTTATATGGAAAAGAATTAGAAACGGTTGATAGTTTTCGTTTTTTGGGAGTAGTCTTTGATAAGAAACTAACTTGGGAAAATCATATAGATCACATTATGGAAAAAAGTAAAAAGGTTCTTAACATTATGAGGTGCTTGACAGGATTGACATGGGGTGCAAACTTTGAATCACTTAAAAATATTTATGTGTCATTATTCGATCTAGAATAGATTATGGGAGTGTGGTGTATGGATCAGCAAGCAAAACTAGGTTAAACAAATTGGATATATTCAAGCAAGAGCTTTGAGAATTTGCTTAGGGGCAGTTAAATCTACTCCAGTATGTGCATTACAAGTAGAGTCAGGAGAGATGCCATTATGTATTAGAAGACAGCAGATCATGGTAAATTATTGGATAAGTTTAAAAGGACAAAATGAAGATCACCCAGTTAAGAAAGTGTTGCAACATTGTTGGGAGAGAGGAAAAGGGAAAAGTAATAGTTTTGGGTGGGTGGGAGATGATAGAGCAAAAACATTTAATGTATTTGACAAAGAATTCAGTCAAACAGTAGTATGGCCTGTGAGACCAGCATGGTCATGGAAATATATTAATGTAGACAAGACACTTAGATATTCAGGGGAAAAAGATGATAGATATGTGCCAAGAGTTTTATCATCAAATACAAAATAAATATAATGATTATGTACAGATTTATACTGATGGTTCAAAAGATCCTAAAAACAAAGTAACAAGTGCAGCAGTAGTGATTCTAGATTTATATACAAAGATTTCAAAAAGAACATCTGATTACTTGAGTATCTATGCAGTAGAAATGTGTGCTATATTATTAGCTTTAGAATGGGTGGAGGATAGTAAAGAAAATACATTTATAATTTGTAGTGATTCACTATCTGCTTTGATGAGTATTGAAAAGGGATGTTCAAGTAATCATCAAAATATATTATATGAAGTTATGGCTGTTCATCATAGAATATGTGATCAAAATAAAAAGGTAATATTATTTTGGACTCCTGCTCATGTAGGTATTTTAGGTAATGAAAGAGCAGATAGGTTGGCTAAGGAGGCTAGTAAAAAAGAAGAAATTGATATGTTAGTAAAGCTATCGAAATCAGAGGGGAAAAGTATAGCTTGGAGAGAAAGTAAAAAGATATGGAAAATTAGGTGGGATAATGAAATAAATGGAAGGCATTTACACAGATTTCAAAATACAGTTGATGTAGAAAGGGTTAGAGGGTTAATAGAAAGGTAGAGGTAATTATAACTCGAATAAGAACCGGGCATAGTTTATTAAATGGAACTCTTTATAAGATGGGGAAACATCCTACTGGTTTATGTAGTTGGTGTGATTCTGTAGAAACAATGGAACATGTTTTTATTTGTTGTAGAAAATATGAAAATGAAAGAAAATTATTAATATTGGAATTAGGCTGTACCAGGGAATTGAAGTTTGAAAAAGTGGTTGATCAGTTAAATAGTAATAGGGGAGGAAGAAAATTTTGTGGTTTTTTAAAAAACAGTGGGATTATTTCGAGAATTTGTTAGATAATTAGGATCCAATAGATGGCAGTAGTGCAACAAAAATGGATGCAAGCTGCCGTTAAAATCCTAAAGAAGAAGAGAAGTTAATTGGAGGGGCGAAAACACACGGCGTTTACGTTTCTGTAGTGACTGTCTATGTTTTTCATGCGTTCTCTGTGATCATGTGTGAAAAGCTGAGGAAGGTAACTCTTTGACTCCAGTAAACACACATTAATGCGCCAGCCGCATTGCTGATATTGTCTTATTTGTCTGTCTCTTCTACAGGTGAACAGCTGGTTGGAGGGAGTGTTTGGGGATCAGCCAGTGCCATCATTTGAGGTGAACACCAGGACATTGGACATACTGTATCAGCTGGCTCAGTCCAGTGAAGCCCGCTGCAGTGATACTGCTCTCCTCATTGAAGACTACAAGCAGAAAACATCAGAGTATCAGGCTGACGGTGAGGCACATACAGCAGGCAGAACAGATGATGCATTAAAACACTTGGATCGGAAAGGCTGAATTGATCTAAAGTGTTTAGATTTGCCGAATGGCATGTTTTGCACATGTCGAAACTAATAGAAACTGAAGTAAATATTTTTTTATGGCTTAAGATATAGGTGTGGTTTTATATTTTGTTGTAGTATAGAGACAATCTCCAAATAGTCTCTATATCACTCCACTAAACGACATTAACGACTACTATTGAAGTATTTAAGGTGAATATTTTGTGCTCAGATGTCGAAATTGTTATTAAATTGGAGGGAAAATAGAAATCTGATTTAGAAATTGTATGGAGTTTCAAAATAATAAACACATAAGAACTCTTTTGTCTGGTTTTCAATGTTTTTCAAAAAACTGTATTTCACTAATCCCATCCCCCCTAGCTGCTCACCTTGAGGATGTTCTTCTGCACGGTGTCGGCTTGTCTGGGGCAAGCTTGTCAGAGCCGACTGCAAACTACGTGTCTGCTTTAGTGGACAATGCTATGGTGGGAGTGAAAGACACATCACTGACCAGGTAATTTTCTGTGGCTTTGTATTTCATTGATCAGAATATATGGTTGTTTTACTTTTGTTCGTTTGTAGCTTCATGCCAGCAATCAACAATCTCACCGATGATCTTCTGGAAGTCGAGAAGTCAAACAGAAAACTCGAAAGGGAACTAAGGGCACTCCAAAAAAGACTCGGTTCAATTCTGGTGCTGCGGGGAAACCTACAAGAGTAAGAATAAGGCGTGAAGCGAGCGATTAAAAGTGTGCCAGTTAAGTTTGATTAGAAGGCTGGGTTTACACATGTACACATTGGCGGTCTTCACTGACAGGGATATCGACAAAACTACCAAATCTCAAGCAGTGGAGAGTGCAAAAGAAGAGGAGAGGCTGCTCAACATGGACTTTGTGACGGCCAAGACTCAAGAGCTCCGTATCAGACAGCAGAGGTTGGAGGTATGTTGCAGCATATTCCTCTTTATAATTTGGGATTATTGCATAGATGCTGAGGTACTAAGTGGGATCATTTATAGGCCATTTTGTGATTTAACACAGCAAAACGCATTATCTACAGATGGGAACCTACTTGACTCTTGACAAAATATGATTAACTTCTCCACATTTAGACTCAGAAAAAAATTTCTAATGTGTATACGTCAAGATAAGAAGCTGCTGCTCAGATTTAGAAAGAAGCTTCATTAAAAAAAAAACATATTATTTTTTCCTGTAAATGACCAAACAGTTTAATTTCTGTTTACCTAGTTGCAATGTCGTCTGCCTCTTGTTTAAAACAGAAACAGTGTTTAGTTTGTTAGTTTGTTGTTTGTCTTGTATTAGTCACTTTATTCTGCTCTGCTAATCCTGCAGGCTCAGCTTGTATCCAGGAACATGGACAAGTCTATCACCCACCAGGCCATTGTGCAGCTTTCTGAGGTATTTCAGCATTTTCACCACATTCATTGCCATGGGGATAGAAGCTTTACTTTGTCTGCATTCAGGGTTTGAAACATGTCATCTTATTTTTCTCCCTGCAGGAACTCAGGGCACTGCAAAACGAAATAATCCCCCTGAAAAAGAAGCTGGGGTCGTACATGGACCTGAGTCCGGTGCGTTTGTTTTCTAGTTTTTCAGACTTCATTACTTTTCCAACAAAAGGGGTGATCACGTTTCCTGTTTTGTCCTTTGAAAAGAAAAATCATTCAATCTAATTTATTTAAGGATTAAGTTTGTGAATTTAATCTTGAAATGTGTGTTGTTGTTTTTTTATTCTAAACCTTCAGAGCCCATCTCTTGCACAAGTGAAGATAGAAGAAGCAAAAAGAGAACTAGTGAGTCTTTAAATATTTGGTTTTATAACATACAAGATGCCATTTTTTGCTCGTTTGTCATTTTAATTACTTTTTCTTTCGTTCATTTTTCAGGTTGCACTCGATTCCAAACTGGAGACAATGAAGGCTATAAATGAAGTTGGATGTTGCGCAGTCCTTTCTTTAAAAATAAAGTTTTTGCAGTCATATTTTTTCTTCTTCTTTTCTACCTTTACCTGCCTTCATCATTAATGTTAAATGAAAAGTGGTTTGAGGTATTTTGGGTCACCTGAAAGGATACTTCTTGCTTCTTTCCTCCTTAGCTTTGGAACCTTATTTAAATATAGGTTAAATATTTCAGAGATTTTGGACACTCCTAAAAAGCTCACAGAGTATCCCTATTAGTTCATACACCTTGAACATTTTTATATTGTACAACCTGCATAACTAACTTATTTTGTTTTGTATGTTTACCAACAAAAACATTGTTTGCATGCTTGTCAGTGTCTAGAAATGGGTAAAATTTTCTGATATGATTTTTAGCTTTTTTATTTTATGATAAAATAATATACTGCTAATGTGTACCTGAATGTTTAGTCTCTCTCCACGCCTTCCTGTTTGTTTCAAACATCTGCAACACTAATGCAATGTTTGGCTTTTCCTCTCTGATCGCAGCAATCTAATTAAGGGGTTGGTCTTAAGAGTTGTAAAAAATAGTTCTCACAGATTATATCCAAACAACTTTCAATCTGTGTGGACAACCTCATCAAATGCAAGTTCTTTGTTTTGTTTTTGTAAATGTATTTTTGTCCAGCTGCTTATCATTTCTCAGCCCTTCTGGGATCCAAATAAGTTTTCCTCTTCCATACTTCTTGGATTTTCTTCTCAAAACCTCAGTATTTTTTACACCCATTTGCTTTAATGTAATTTCTTCAATGTCTGGCCAACAAGTCTAAAGGTAAAGGAAACCTTTAGAGATTCACAATAAAATGGTACTGGCTTTGGAGGTATAATGTCACATGGAATTAACGGTGGAGCACTTTGTGCCTGAAGCAAAAGCAGACATTAGAATCAGTCTGTTCTGTCTGCATGTAAAATATCCCCTCAGCGTTTCTCTGCCCTGTCGGTTTCTGTCCTCTGGAGTGGAGCAGAGCCTGGACACCTCAACGGTTTCTGTCAGCTTGACTGGTGTAGGACCTGATCTGCAGTCTGACATGGAGACTGAGCCGTTATCATGGAGTGGGCCACAGATGCTTACTAGAGAGCAGTTTTCCCACTGGGGCCCCCCAGCTTGGATGAAAAGAACCATTTGGTTAGAATACCAACAGTTTTAAAAAAAGAAACAATCTGGCAATTTATTCAAAAAGGTTACATTTGTTTTACTCCTGGGTGACTCTGTTTACCTATATTTTCCAAGTAATGTGAACGCTTAAATGTGTAAGCATAACTTATTTTTATGAGTATTGCTTAATTGACATAACTCATAAATTGTAGTAGTCATAATTGACATTTTATAGTCAACTTTACTAATGATTTTGAGTTAATCAAAATCAGGTTTACTGCCATTATCTGAGTGGTGTAAACATTTATAGCTATAACACCTTATAATGAATTAGCTACTTTACTTGGAGATTTTGAGGCAATCGGTTTCCTAACTTTTTTTAAGTAAAGTGAACTTATTACATTTTACAGTGTGGACAAAGAAAAATGTTTGAAACAAATAATATGGCCTTTAGAGACAGAACACAAATCATATAAATTGTCTTAAATTCCAGTTGAATTAGTTAAAATGTTTTAAAGTGTGGGCCGGTCATCAGTGGACAGTAAAGAATCCAGTTGTAATGAAATGTTTTCTCCTTTTCAAACCTCATTAGAAGAACAAATTTGTCTCTAATGCTAAACTTGACTGGTCTGGTTTTTAGACTTAAATGGCAGCTATTTATTTATTTATTAAGTTTTACAGAAAAAGAAAACCATATCTACTCAACTTTCATTTATCAATTATTTTTCCATTTGCAACAACAGCATAAAAAGAGTATTTAGGTTGTTGGTTCTGTTCTGAAAATGGAGGTTTAATCATGACGTAAATACAAATTGTTGCGAAAACAATAACTGATTACTACAGCTGCACTTTATATATTGAAATAAACATTTAATTTGAACCGTTAAATCGTTTTAAGTGAATTGGGATAACTACAATTTTTTAATCTGCTGTATTTCTTTAAATTCACATTCATTTTCTTCCTGGAAGGTTGGCAGGTTGGCTCTGTTCATCAAACACTTTTTGCAGTTCTATCTTCTATTGCTGGAGTTAACTTAAAGTTAAACAGAACCCTAGATGTAATTTGTGTGAATGAAAAAGAACACATATTACATTTGTTTACATCTGTTTTTCTAAGCAACCAGAATGTCTTCTTTCATTTAAGTAAATTGCCATAAGCTATGCTTCTTTCTGAATTTTTGATTTGATGTAGGCTCTTGTTTTGTACTTATTTTCACAAGATTGAGACAGTTATATCAAAAATATGGGGGAAAAAAAAAGACAAATTAGAAGGATGAATTGTTGGATGTTGAATTTGATATTTATGCATTTGTGGTTAAAAACTGGGACAAATAGGGGATGAGTTGCACAATTTGGAAATTAGTTTTCTCAGTGTGGGTTATTTGCTCATCTTTTGATCAGCCCACTTAGTAAAACATAAAATCCAGGGTTTTTTTTCTTTCAATCCAATGAAATAATTTGTTTTGTCACAGTACAATCACACGTGCATGATACAAATGAGATTGTATGTAACAAACACAAGGTGGTGAATGGTTGGGAAAAGGAATAAAAATGTTTTTCTAAATATTTTACAAATGCATTCCATACAATAGTCAGTTGCAGACCAGACTACTGGGTTAACTTTAACCCCATACTATACAGTGCTGTGGTCATATAGATGCACAGATAATGATCGTAAAAGTCCAAAGAACAACTAAGAGATCCAGTAAATCGTTGAAAACCATTTTAAAGTATTGCAAGAGGCAAAGCATAAAGGAATTGGAAGTTGTTGAAACTTTTGTACAGTACAATTTAGAAGCAAACATAAATATCAAACTGTGACTGTGTGTTTTTGTAAAAATTGTGCCTGAAATGTGCAGGAAGACGTAAAATAAGAAAGTCAAAGAGAGGGAAGCCTAGGAAGTATGTATGCGCCTTCTGGAGGGATAAAGAGGGGGGAAAAAATCATGCGTCACTCTAGCGCGAGCTGCCCGTGTTCCCTTTAAAATAGTTTTATGTGCCACTCCCACTCCATGATTCCCACTCAGCTGTTACTGTAAATCGCTCCCAGTTCCCACATGGTGCTATCCATTCACAAATCCGCGCAGGAAGACTCGATTGTTGCCATGAATCGGATTGATCACCTCGTCCGTCACCTGTGAGCAACTTGTTGCGCAGCTGCTATTTCCTCTGTGGTCCATTGCCGCAGCCAGACAGCCGCTGCTTCTCTACGACAGAAACACTGGAGCTGCTGATCTGCGTCTCAGCGTCCGGGGTATTTTCTGGCTCTCAGGGAGGACAGCTGGATGACTTTGTGTGAGCGACCGACTTTCTTTATTGGAGTTAGAGAGATGCAGCCGAACGCCGCGGCCTTGCGGGATCTCCCTCACCTTCCTGTTTGGGTTTTTCATTAAGTAGGCCTACAACAAGTCTGAATTCAACGAGCCTCATTAATATGAGAAGAGGGGCAGGGGATGCGAGTCATGAGCTGGACGCGTCCTTTCCACGGACTGGACTGGAGCCACAGCCTCTTCTATCTGACTTTACTACTGTGGACCAGGCGCATGAACGGACTGGCTGATTTTTCAAGTAAGATGATGATGATGATGACGATGATGACGGAGATGCAATAAAAGGAGGGGAAAGCTTACAACAGAAACTATTTTCTCACAAAAAATGTCACCAGGTCGCTCTGAAGTTTTCCATTTAACTTGCATAAAATGATGTAAAAATGAAATCTTCTTTTGGTGTTTTTTGAATAATGGTGAAAAGACAAGAATTGATATTAATTCAGGTAAGGAATCTGTAGTGGATTTAACATTTGTTTCCAGTTGTTTAGCTCCATTATGTGATTGGCAAGTTGAAAATAAATCCTTTGATCATTACATTATAGTCAGTAAAATAAGGATGGGTCAGGTGCAGAATCTTGAAATGTTAGGAGGGAAGTGGATATTTAGGAAAGCAAATTGGGAAAAATTTAATAACTTATGTGAGAGTAAGATATCAAATATAAAAAATGATTTGAGTGTAGAAAATATGAGTCGTGAGATTAGTCAGGGTATATTAGAAGCTGCTGAAAGGTCTATTCCAAAAACATCAGGGAAGAATAGGAGGAAATTAGTTCCATGGTGGAATGAAGAGTGTAGAACAGTGGTCAAAGAAAGAAATAAAGCATTTAAACTGGTTAAAAAGTCTCATAATTTTCAACATTTGATCGAATATAAAAATCACAGGCTAAATTAAGGAAAACAATAAGAACAGCAAAAAGGATATATTGGAGAAATTTTTGTGACAAAATTGGTAATAGTACAAAGATTGGGGAAGTTTGGGGAATGACCAAAAAAATGGGGGGAGATAGAAGAGAATGGAGTTATCCAATATTAAATAGAAACAGTATAATAGCAATAAATGACAGGGAAAAAGCTGATATTTTAGTAAGCACATTTATGGAGATTCATAGTGGGAAAAAATGATCAGATAAAGAAATAAAGGGGAGAGAGAAAACTAAAAGAAAAATGGTGGAATTTTAAGAAGAAAGGAAATTATTAAGGATGAATTGATGAACGAACATTTCTCTATTGGAGAATTGAAAAGAGCTTTGGGTAGAACAAGAAATAGTGCTCCAGGTAAAGATGAAGTATGCTATATTATGCTAAGACATGTGAGTGATGATGTTTTGAAGAAGATATTAAATTTGTATAATAAGATTTGGAAAGAGGGAAGAATACCTAGTGAATGGAAAGAAGCGGTTGTTATTCCGATAAAGAAACCTGGAAAGATCATAGTAATCCTGAAAACTATAGGCCGATTGCTTTAACATCTAATATATGTAAGCTGATGGAAAGGATGGTGAATGAGAGGTTAGTACAGTATTTGGAATCAAGGAATATAATTGCTCCGTATCAGAGTGGCTTTCGTAGAGGGAGAGGAACAATGGATCCAGTATTGTGTTTAGAAGATGATATTAGAAAAGCTCAAATTAATAAGGAAACTGCTGTGGCTGTATTTTTTGATGTGGAAAAAGCATATGACATGTTATGGAGAGAAGGATTAATGATTAAACTACACCAGATAGGAATAGGAGGGAGTATGTTTAACTGGATATGGGATTTTTTATGTGATAGAAATATCCAAGTTAAAATAGGTTCTCATGTTTCAAAATCGTGTGAAATAGAAAATGGAACTCCTCAAGGAAGTGTGATAAGTCCAACATTATTCTTGGTGATGATAAATGATATTTTTAATGAAATACCAGTTAGTTTTGGGAAATCACTATTTGCTGATGATGGAGCATTATGGAAAAGGGGAAGAAATATAGAACATCTTATTTTAAAACTTCAGGAAGGTATAGATATAGTAGGTAAGTGGGGAATTGAGTGGGGTTTTAAATTTTCAATTGAGAAGACAAAAGTAATGTTCTTTACAAATAAGAAAGTTAGAATTGATAAAAAATTATATTTATATGGAAAAGAATTAGAAACGGTTGATAGTTTTCGTTTTTTGGGAGTAGTCTTTGATAAGAAACTAACTTGGGAAAATCATATAGATCACATTATGGAAAAAAGTAAAAAGGTTCTTAACATTATGAGGTGCTTGACAGGATTGACATGGGGTGCAAACTTTGAATCACTTAAAAATATTTATGTGTCATTATTTCGATCTAGAATAGATTATGGGAGTGTGGTGTATGGATCAGCAAGCAAAACTAGGTTAAACAAATTGGATAATATTCAAGCAAGAGCTTTGAGAATTTGCTTAGGGCAGTTAAATCTACTCCAGTATGTGCATTACAAGTAGAGTCAGGAGAGATGCCATTATGTATTAGAAGACAGCAGATCATGGTAAATTATTGGATAAGTTTAAAAGGACAAAATGAAGATCACCCAGTTAAGAAAGTGTTGCAACATTGTTGGGAGAGAGGAAAAGGGAAAAGTAATAGTTTTGGGTGGGTGGGAGATGATAGAGCAAAAACATTTAATGTATTTGACAAAGAATTCAGTCAAACAGTAGTATGGCCTGTGAGACCAGCATGGTCATGGAAATATATTAATGTAGACAAGACACTATATTCAGGGGAAAAAGATGATAGATATGTGCCAAGAGTTTTATCATCAAATACAAAATAAATATAATGATTATGTACAGATTTATACTGATGGTTCAAAAGATCCTAAAAACAAAGTAACAAGTGCAGCAGTAGTGATTCTAGATTTATATACAAAGATTTCAAAAAGAACATCTGATTACTTGAGTATCTATGCAGTAGAAATGTGTGCTATATTATTAGCTTTAGAATGGGTGGAGGATAGTAAAGAAAATACATTTATAATTTGTAGTGATTCACTATCTGCTTTGATGAGTATTGAAAAGGGATGTTCAAGTAATCATCAAAATATATTATATGAAGTTATGGCTGTTCATCATAGAATATGTGATCAAAATAAAAGGTAATATTATTTTGGACTCCTGCTCATGTAGGTATTTTAGGTAATGAAAGAGCAGATAGGTTGGCTAAGGAGGCTAGTAAAAAAGAAGAAATTGATATGTTAGTAAAGCTATCGAAATCAGAGGGGAAAAGTATAGCTTGGAGAGAAAGTAAAAATATGGAAAATTAGGTGGGATAAAAATAAATGGAAGGCATTTACACAGATTTCAAAATACAGTTGATGTAGAAAGGGTTAGAGGGTTAAATAGAAAGGTAGAGGTAATTATAACTCGAATAAGAACCGGGCATAGTTTATTAAATGGAACTCTTTATAAGATGGGGAAACATCCTACTGGTTTATGTAGTTGGTGTGATTCTGTAGAAACAATGGAACATGTTTTTATTTGTTGTAGAAAATATGAAAATGAAAGAAAATTATTAATATTGGAATTAGGCTGTACCAGGGAATTGAAGTTTGAAAAAGTGGTTGATCAGTTAAATAGTAATTAGGGGAGGAAGAAAATTTTGTGGTTTTTTAAAAACAGTGGGATTATTTCGAGAATTTGAGAGATAATTAGGATCCAATAGATGGCAGTAGTGCAACAAAAATGGATGCAAGCTGCCGTTAAAACCTAAAGAAGAAGAGAAGAATTAATTTGAGGGGCGCGAAAAACACACGGCGTTTACGTTTCTGTAGTGACTGTCTATGTTTTTCATGCCTTCTCTGTGATCATGTGTGAAAAGCTGAGGAAGGTAACTCTTTGACTCCAGTAAACACATTTAATGCGCCAGCCGCATTGCTGATATTGTCTTATTTGTCTGTCTCTTCTACAGGTGAACAGCTGGTTGGAGGGAGTGTTTGGGGATCAGCCAGTGCCATCATTTGAGGTGAACACCAGGACATTGGACATACTGTATCAGCTGGCTCAGTCCAGTGAAGCCCGCTGCAGTGATACTGCTCTCCTCATTGAAGACTACAAGCAGAAAACATCAGAGTATCAGGCTGACGGTGAGGCACATACAGCAGGCAGAACAGATGATGCATTAAAACACTTGGATCGGAAAGGCTGAATTGATCTAAAGTGTTTAGATTTGCCGAATGGCATGTTTTGCACATGTCGAAACTAATAGAAACTGAAGTAATATTTTTTTATGGCTTAAGATATAGGTGTGGTTTTATATTTTGTTGTAGTATAGAGACAATCTCCAAATAGTCTCTATATCACTCCACTAAACGACATTAACGACTACTATTGAAGTATTTAAGGTGAATATTTTGTGCTCAGATGTCGAAATTGTTATTAAATTGGAGGGAAAATAGAAATCTGATTTTTAGAAATTGTATGGAGTTTCAAAAATAAACACATAAGAACTCTTTTGTCTGGTTTTCAATGTTTTTCAAAAAACTGTATTTCACTAATCCCATCCCCCCTAGCTGCTCACCTTGAGGATGTTCTTCTGCACGGTGTCGGCTTGTCTGGGGCAAGCTTGTCAGAGCCGACTGCAAACTACGTGTCTGCTTTAGTGGACAATGCTATGGTGCTGGGAGTGAAAGACACATCACTGACCAGGTAATTTTCTGTGGCTTTGTATTTCATTGATCAGAATATATGGTTGTTTTACTTTTGTTCGTTTGTAGCTTCATGCCAGCAATCAACAATCTCACCGATGATCTTCTGGAAGTCGAGAAGTCAAACAGAAAACTCGAAAGGGAACTAAGGGCACTCCAAAAAAGACTCGGTTCAATTCTGGTGCTGCGGGGAAACCTACAAGAGTAAGAATAAGGCGTGAAGCGAGCGATTAAAGTGTGCCAGTTAAGTTTGATTAGAAGGCTGGGTTTACACATGTACACATTGGCGGTCTTCATTGACAGGGATATCGACAAAACTACCAAATCTCAAGCAGTGGAGAGTGCAAAAGAAGAGGAGAGGCTGCTCAACATGGACTTTGTGACGGCCAAGATCAAGAGCTCCGTATCAGACAGCAGAGGTTGGAGGTATGTTGCAGCATATTCCTCTTTATAATTTGGGATTATTGCATAGATGCTGAGGTACTAAGTGGGATCATTTATAGGCCATTTTGTGATTTAAACAGCAAAACGCATTATCTACAGATGGGAACCTACTTGACTCTTGACAAAATATGATTAACTTCTCCACATTTAGACTCAGAAAAAAATTTCTATTGTGTATACTTCAAGATAAGAAGCTGCTGCTCAGATTTAGAAAGAAGCTTCATTTAAAAAAAAAAAAACATATTATTTTTTCCTGTAAATGACCAAACAGTTTAATTTCTGTTTACCTAGTTGCAATGTCGTCTGCCTCTTGTTTAAAACAGAAACAGTGTTTAGTTTGTTAGTTTGTTGTTTGTCTTGTATTAGTCACTTTATTCTGCTCTGCTAATCCTGCAGGCTCAGCTTGTATCCAGGAACATGGACAAGTCTATCACCCACCCCATTGTGCAGCTTTCTGAGGTATTTCAGCATTTTCACCACATTCATTGCCATGGGGATAGAAGCTTTACTTTGTCTGCATTCAGGGTTTGAAACATGTCATCTTATTTTTCTCCTGCAGGAACTCAGGGCACTGCAAAACGAAATAATCCCCCTGAAAAAGAAGCTGGAGTCGTACATGGACCTGAGTCCGGTACGTTTGTTTTCTAGTTTTTCAGACTTCATTACTTTTCCAACAAAAGGGGTGATCACGTTTCCTGTTTTGTCCTTTGAAAAGAAAAATCATTCAATCTAATTTATTTAAGGATTAAGTTTGTGAATTTAATCTTGAAATGTGTGTTGTTGTTTTTTTATTCTAAACCTTCAGAGCCCATCTCTTGCACAAGTGAAGATAGAAGAAGCAAAAAGAGAACTAGTGAGTCTTTAAATATTTGGTTTTATAACATACAAGATGCCATTTTTTGCTCGTTTGTCATTTTAATTACTTTTCTTCGTTCATTTTTCAGGCTGCACTCGATTCCAAACTGGAGACAATGATGGATTTAAATGGATTTGGATGTTGCGCAGTCCTTTCTTTAAAAATAAAGTTTTTGCACTCATATTTTTTTTCTTCTTTTCTACCTTTACCTGCCTTCATCATTAATGTTAAATGAAAAGTGGTTTGAGGTATTTTGGGTCACCTGAAAGGACTTCTTGCTTCTTTCCTCCTTAGCTTTTGGAACCTTATTTAAATATAGGTTAAATATTTCAGAGATTTTGGACACCTAAAAAGCTCACAGAGTATCCCTATTAGTTTCATACACCTTGAACATTTTTATATTGTACAACCTGCATAAGTAGCTTATTTGTTTTGTATGTTTACCAACAAAAACATTGTTTGCATGCTTGTCAGTGTCTAGAAATGGGTAAAATTTTCTGATATGATTTTAGCTTTTTTATTTTATGATAAAATAATATACTGCTAATGTGTACCTGAATGTTTAGTCTCTCTCCACGCCTTCCTGTTTGTTTCAAACATCGGCAACACTAATGCAATGTTTGGCTTTTCCTCTCTGATCGCAGCAATCTAATTAAGGGGTTGGTCTTAAGAGTTGTAAAAAATAGTTCTCACAAATTATATCCAAACAACTTTCAATCTGTGTGGACAACCTCATCAAATGCAAGTTCTTTGTTTTGTTTTTGTAAATGTATTTTTGTCCAGCTGCTTATCATTTCTCAGCCCTTCTGGGATCCAAATAAGTTTTCCTCTTCCATACTTCTTGGATTTTCTTCTCAAAACCTCAGTATTTTTTACACCCATTTGCTTTAATGTAATTTCTTCAATGTCTGGCCAACAAGTCTAAAGGTAAAGGAAACCTTTAGAGATTCACAATAAAATGGTACTGGCTTTGGAGGTATAATGTCACATGGAATTAACGGTGGAGCACTTTGTGCCTGAAGCAAAAGCAGACATAGAATCAGTCTGTTCTGTCTGCATGTAAAATATCCCCTCAGCGTTTCTCTGCCCTGTCGGTTTCTGTCCTCTGGAGTGGAGCAGAGCCTGGACACCTCAACGGTTTCTGTCAGCTTGACTGGTGTAGGACCTGATCTGCAGTCTGACATGGAGACTGAGCCGTTACCATGGAGTGGGCCACAGATGCTTACTAGAGAGCAGTTTTCCCACTGGGGCCCCCAGCTTGGATGAAAAGAACCATTTGGTTAGAATACCAACAGTTTAAAAAAAAAGAAACAATCTGGCAATTTATTCAAAAGGTTACATTTGTTTTACTCCTGGGTGACTCTGTTTACCTATATTTTCCAAGTAATGTGAACGCTTAAATGTGTAAGCATAACTTATTTTTATGAGTATTGCTTAATTGACATAACTCATAAATTGTAGTAGTCATAATTGACATTTTATAGTCAACTTTACTAATGATTTTGAGTTAATCAAAATCAGGTTTACTGCCATTATCTGAGTGGTGTAAACATTTATAGCTATAACACCTTATAATGAATTAGCTACTTTACTTGGAGATTTTGAGGCAATCGGTTTCCTAACTTTTTTTAAGTAAAGTGAACTTATTACATTTTACAGTGTGGACAAAGAAAAATGTTTGAAACAAATAATATGGCCTTTAGAGACAGAACACAAATCATATAAATTGTCTTAACCAGTTGAATTAGTTAAAATGTTTTAAAGTGTGGGCCGGTCATCAGTGGACAGTAAAGAATCCAGTTGTAATGAAATGTTTTCTCCTTTTCAAACCTCATTAGAAGAACAAATTTGTCTCTAATGCTAAACTTGACTGGTCTGGTTTTTAGACTTAAATGGCAGCTATTTATTTATTTATTAAGTTTTACAGAAAAGAAAACCATATCTACTCAACTTTCATTTATCAATTATTTTTTCCATTTGCAACAACAGCATAAAAAGAGTATTTAGGTTGTTGGTTCTGTTCTGAAAATGGAGGTTTAATCATGACGTAAATACAAATTGTTGCGAAAACAATAACTGATTACTACAGCTGCACTTTATATATTGAAATAAACATTTAATTTGAACCGTTAAATCGTTTTAAGTGAATTGGGATAACTACAACTTTTTAATCTGCTGTATTTCTTTAAATTCACATTCATTTTCTTCCTGGAAGGTTGGCAGGTTGGCTCTGTTCATCAAACACTTTTTGCAGTTCTATCTTCTATTGCTGGAGTTAACTTAAAGTTAAACAGAACCCTAGATGTAATTTGTGTGAATGAAAAAGAACATATTACATTTGTTTACATTTGTTTTTCTAAGCAACCAGAATGTCTTCTTTCATTTAAGTAAATTGCCATAAGCTATGCTTCTTTCTGAATTTTGATTTGATGTAGGCTCTTGTTTTGAACTTATTTTCACAAGATTGAGACAGTTATATCAAAAATATGGGGAAAAAAAAGACAAATTAGAAGGATGAATTGTTGGATGTTGAATTTGATATTTATGCATTTGTGGTTAAAAACTGGGACAAATAGGGGATGAGTTGCACAATATGGAAATTAGTTTTTCTCAGTGTGGGTTATTTGCTCATCTTTTGATCAGCCCACTTAGTAAAACATAAAATCCAGGGTTTTTTTTCTTTCAATCCAATGAAATAATTTGTTTTGTCACAGTACAATCACACGTGCATGATACAAATGAGATTGTATGTAACAAACACAAGGTGGTTGGGAAAAGGAATAAAAATGTTTTTCTAAATATTTTACAAATGCATTCCATACAATAGTCAGTTGCAGACCAGACTACTGGGTTAACTTTAACCCCATACTATACAGTGCTGTGGTCATATAGATGCACAGATAATGATCGTAAAAGTCCAAAGAACAACTAAGAGATCCAGTAAATCGTTGAAAACCATTTTAAAGTATTGCAAGAGCAAAGCATAAAGGAATTGGAAGTTGTTGAAACTTTTGTACAGTACAATTTAGAAGCAAACATAAATATCAAACTGTGACTGTGTGTTTTTTGTAAAAATTGTGCCTGAAATGTGAAGGAAGACGTAAAATAAGTCAAAGAGAGGGAAGCCTAGGAAGTATGTATGCGCCTTCTGGAGGGATAAAGAGGGGAAAAATCATGCGTCACTCTAGCGCGAGCTGCCCGTGTTCCCTTTAAAATAGTTTTATGTGCCACTCCCACTCCATGATTCCCACTCAGCTGTTACTGTAAATCGCTCCCAGTTCCCACATGGTGCTATCCATTCACAAATCCGCGCAGGAAGACTCGATTGTTGCCATGAATCGGATTGATCACCTCGTCCGTCACCTGTGAGCAACTTGTTGCGCAGCTGCTATTTCCTCTGTGGTCCATCGCCGCAGCCAGACAGCCGCTGCTTCTCTACGACAGAAACACTGGAGCTGCTGATCTGCGTCTCAGCGTCCGGGGGTATTTTCTGGCTCTCAGGGAGGACAGCTGGATGACTTTGTGTGAGCGACCGACTTCCTTTATTGGAGTTAGAGAGATGCAGCCGAACGCCGCGGCCTTGCGGGATCTCCCTCACCTTCCTGTTTGGGTTTTTCATTAAGTAGGCCTACAACAAGTCTGAATTCAACGAGCCTCATTAATATGAGAAGAGGGGCAGGGGATGCGAGTCATGAGCTGGACGCGTCCTTTCCACGGACTGGACTGGAGCCACAGCCTCTTCTATCTGACTTTACTACTGTGGACCAGGCGCATGAACGGACTGGCTGATTTTTCAAGTAAGATGATGATGATGATGACGATGATGACGGAGATGCAATAAAAGGAGGGGAAAGCTTACAACAGAAACTATTTTCTCACAAAAAATGTCACCAGGTCGCTCTGAAGTTTTCCATTTAACTTGCATAAAATGATGTAAAAATGAAATCTTCTTTTGGTGTTTTACTGTGAAATCAGACTTAAATGTTTTGTCAAGAAAATAATACTCCTAAGTAAATGTTTCCAAACGATTATTTTTGTTGTTGTTAAGGGATAAAACTATTAAAAATCATTTTATTGTCAAAATTATTTTTGACATTTTTCAGACTGAGAGAAGGCAGTTACTTTGCTTCTTATCTACTTTTGGATGTCTGTAGATTGGTGTGTAATACATAATTTTTAAGATGTAGGCTATTATCCTACTCCATGTGAGACGGGTTCTGTTGAAGTGATTTCTTGATTCTGTCCTTTTAACAGTAAACATGCCCTGGTAAGATTAAACTCAGCAAGACATTCTGGTAATATAATTCCTAAATTATTATGGGGTTTGATCTGTAAACCATAATAATTAAAAATAAAAAAAAGACATAAAGGCTTGAAATATTTTACTCTATGTAACAGAATTGACATGTCTTCCCTTGCAAAAGAGATCAGATATCAGTGGGACAAATCTGGTTATGTAAAGAAAATGAATGAAGGAGTTATATTAATGATAATTTCCATATTTTACATTCAAGAAACCATTGAATAATATATGCAATCTTAATGGATACAGCAAGAGACGCATCCCAGAAATAAGAAGAGTCCAAACAGTTGGATCTACAAACAATAAAGCATTATGTCTGATGCACGGTTGCTAAAAATGTTCAACTTTCTTCCGTGCAACAGACTATCTTTCAAGGATTATCACCAGCCATTCTGCTCACGCTTGCGATGGGACACCATTGAGACTCCACTGTCCTCGTCACTCCACCATCTCCATCCAGTCGGCCTTCTATGGCAGTGGGGAGGTCCGGCTGTGCACGGAGGACCCCACATCTGGACCCCGCAGCCACAGATGCTCAGCTTTAACCGCTCTACAGGTGCACATTCATGCATGACATGAGCCATGCATCACTGTAAAGCCCAGCTGTACAACTCTTTGATAATTTGGTCTTCACCAAATTTCAGAATGTGGTTTTCAGGTTGTGCAGAATCGTTTTATTGCATCCCTGTGGACTAGATCATTAAATCAACAGTGCTGGGCCTTAGTGACCATTGGCCTGGGGGATTATTTTGCAGAAGCTCCTGTCTGAGTGTCAGAACCTCAGAGACTGTCAACTACCAGTCAGTCACCTGCTGTTTGGGAAGGACCCATGCCCTGGCAAGAACAAGTACCTCCATGTGAATTATAAGTGCAAACCCAGTGAGTTCTTCCCTTCTGAATTCCCTCACACACTTAGCTGAGGATGAGTTTTAACGTTCTTACTTTGACCCTCATTCAGCTGAACACAAAACACAGGTGGTGTGCGAAGGAGAGACCATGATCTTGCGCTGCAAGACCCCCAATTTGTTGATCATCTACGCAGCTGTCTATGGCCGAGGTCTGGGTCAGGCTGACACCTGCCCCTCATTCTCAGCAAGACCTCCCCCATTTGGTGAGTCACTGTCAGCTACTAATAGAGAGACATCACTGTAGTAAAGTAAAGTGAAAACACACAGTGAATGTTTGTGATTAGTGGCATCAGCTGGCCTCATGTAACTCTGACAAACAGGGAAACGGAACCCTGAAACAACCACAGCTAAATGGAATGCAGCCACCATTGATTTCCTTTCTTTTCTTTTTTTGGTATTTATTTTGAGCACTGTTCTTTTCCCATGACGCTTATCTAAATGGCCCACGGCAGACTAGGAGAGGGTGGGGGGAGTGATTCTTTGTTCTCTATGGAAATATCAGCTCTGTCTGTTGACTAAAAGAGTTGCATATTTCCTTTTAGAACACAGAGCCCTGAGGATTTATAAGGAATGTGGGGTTTATTAAAAATGCAAAGAGATCACAAGCAGAAATAGTGCAGGTAGAAACAGGTGTATCTCATGAAATCAGTTGTGGCTGCATTCCTTCTCCGTTACTAGAGTACACCTGTGCTTTTCCTGGTATGTCAAGTCAAACTGTAGGAGAGAAGACGAGCTGTCTGTGTGCTGTAATGTAACACCTCACTTTCACATATGCTTAATTTGTTTTTAAATAATCCAACTGTCGCAATGAAAGCCGTTTATAGATATTATAAAACTCCATGTTTACACAAGGAATTAACTATTTGCTCAGCTGGGTTAAATAAATAACATCAGCCATGAAAACACAGTTGTACTCTTGCTAAACTGCAATCGAGCTCCTGCAGAAGGCAGTCAATAATTCAGCTATCGCAGCCCAAGAGCAAAAATCAAATACGCATGTTCAGTTGCTCTTACAGTACATTGCAAAAGTATTCATGCTCTTTAAGTTTTTTACA